ATGCTGGCCTATTTCTGGGTGGTTCCTGATCGCTCTTCCTGCAAGGAGGAGAGCATCGTCCCTCCACGGCAGTTTCCGCGGACGACCCGATAACAGACATCGCAGGATTGGAAACCACGGGGAGCTCACGCGCTCGGGGGCTATTAGAATGGCAGACAGTTCTTCCTCCTGAACTTGGCTCAGAAACTGTGATATTAGAGGGACTGGGGGAAACGCGTAAAGGAGAATTTCAGGCCACGGGCTGTGGGCAAACGCGTCCACTCCTAACGATGGATAGTCCCGTGGGCTCAGTGAGAACCATAGTTGACACTGGGCGTTCTCCCGCGTGGCAAATAAGTCCACCTCTGCTCTGCCAAATTTCTTCCAGATCCAAGAAATCAGCTCGGGATGGAGACTCCAGTCCCCGTGATGCGGACCGCCCCTGGACATTATGTCCGCTCTTCTGTTCAGGACGCCGGGGATGTACACTGCTGTGATGGAGAGCAGGTTTTTGTGTGCCCAACACAGCAGCTGTCTCACAATGTGTAACATTTGGGCTGAGAGCACGGCCCCTGCCGGTTTATGTAAGCTGCAGTTAGGGCTTTAACAGACTACTCGAGTAATCTACACATCGATTCCTAGGACATCTATCGAGGTTTTTAATTTCATGTCGAGTATTCGTAGTGATGTCATTACGCCAGCGTTACGTCATCGCGTCACGTGTCACGTGGTCCGCACCGGGCACGGGTTACAAAATGGATTCCTCCCAGCAGACGGATGGAACAGAGCAGGCCCAGTCTTGACGAACAGGTAGAAATGCATCAATAGTCTGGAAATATTTCACTAAAGATGAATCTTCTGGTTCAACTACCGTAAGGAAACAGAAAATGAAACAACTTCCTGACTGTTTGGAGCTCGTTGCAAACCGGTGTTACACCATATTTTGTGACCGTAGGAGGCGGTGTTGCATGTACTGTTGCAGGTCACAGAATATGGTGTAACACCGGGTCCAATCGCCCGAACCAGAACCAGCTTCCTCTGACCTTGTTTCACAAACAAAAAGCAAAAAATATTAATCTCTAAACCTATAAAAAAATCTATAAACATATTAACCTCTAAAACTAAACTTAATGCGCATCACAGCTGGCGGTGGTGCGGGGTGGTCGAGCCCCCCACTGGTTTTAGTTTCGTTTTTGACATGCTACACATTTCTTCACGTTTGTAGCTTAATAAAAAAACTAATAGTTTAGTTTTTCCTGTGACTTATTTGCTGTATGATAAATGGTAGGAGCATAATATATGTTCCCAATGTTTTGTTGGTCTTTTTTTTTTTGTTGTAAATAATTACCTTTTTTGCGGTTTTGTTTATTTATTTTTGTATCTTTAGATCATATGATGTCATCAAGTACTCAAGTTCTACTCGAGTTTTATTATGTTAATGTCGAGTTTAAAAATTATGTAGTCGTTCACCCCTAGCTGCAGTCACCTTGTTATCTGTGTGGATCAGAACATGTTGATTTTGCAGCAAGGGAGCAAAATGTTGAATCACATTCAAAACCGTGCGACATTCCAAAACATTTATGTGAGCTGATGTGTGAGCTGGTCACAACGCCCCCACCGCCCGTGACAAGCACATTCCTCCACAACCTGACAGGGACGCGTCTGTGAAAACTGAGACGTGTGACGTAGGTCTGCTGACAGGGACTCCCTCCGACAGCGTGAGGGGATTTCCCCAATGTTTCAGGTTGGTTCCCATGGAGGGGGGCACAGAAATCATCTGTCTCTTCTGCCTTACTAGATCTATGCACAGATGGAGACGTCTCGTGAAGTAAGCCCAGCAGGACCACCGCGTGAGCTGACAACATTGTTCCTAACAGTTGCATGATGAAGACAGCTGTCACTACTCTGCCAGGTTTTACGTGGCGGAGCCATTTTTTTAGAGTTTCGGCTCTCATTTTGATAAACGGGCCCTCAAATTGACAGAGTTTAGCTCCACTCCCAGATAAACGATCATCTGGGCCGGGAGAATCGAGCTCTTCTCCCAGTTTATGGCGAAGCCGAGATTTAACAGGTGTGACATCAGAGCTTTGGTTTGCGCCGCTGCTTCCTGCCTGGATCGGGTCAGCAACAGCAGATCGTCCAGGTAAAACAGAATTCTCATCCCTGCTCTGTGTAGCGGCTGCAGAGCCGTCTTCGCGCATTTTGAAAATGTGCGTGATGCGAGGGAGTAACCGAACGGAAGCCTGTTGTATTGGCACTGGGTGCCTTGGAAGGAGAAGCACAGGAAATTTCTGTGCTTTGGAATGGTTGGAATGTGAAAATAAGCGTCTTTGAGATCGATGGACGTAAACCGTCGTTCTGGTGAATGTTGTTCAACAGCTGTCTGGATGTCAACATGTGAAACTGTCTCTCCAAAATCAACTTCTTGAAAATGGATAAATCTAAATGGGTCTCACCCCTCCGGTCCGTTTTGGAACCAGGAAGTAACGTGAATAAAACCCTGTATTTTCCTCTCCGTTGGGAACCCTGGAAATTACATTTTTTACCAGTAGTTCCTGAACTTCTGCATGAAGGGATGAGATCTGTTCTGAAGATTACAGAACCGTCTCTATAATCCCTCTGAATGGTGGGGGTTGAGCTGTGAACTGCAGCGTGTAACCTTTGCTGATAAGAAGGTTCATCCAGCTGTTCAGGGAGCACGCTCGCTGCCACTCTGCATAACGCTCTGGGAGCGGGCATGCATTTTTGTGTTGTGTCATGTCTTTTACGGACGCCAGCCAAGTCAAAGCCTCTGTGCCGCGCTCAGGCTGCGGGCTCACATCAGAAATGATGTGAGCTGACGTGCGCTGAGGGGAGGCGTGCGCGCCCTCAGCAATGCAACATTGCTTGGGTGGGGGCTGTCGCCACCGCGGGGACACGCGTTTGTCTCCGCTGCGGTCAGAAGGGGCAGAACACACCCTGGGCTGAGAGCGAGGTTTTCTCCTGGGCTCGGTCTGCTGAAAACATTCATTTTTTGCTTCTGTGTCAAGCGAGCATTCTGTGTGTTTTCTTGAGCTGCGGTGACTTTAAAAAAAAAAAAACCTGTTTGAGGACACCGGCTCGTTTTGTATGGAGGATGTGTGCAGAGAAGCCGCTGTGAGATCATTTGAACTGACAGTCAGGCTGAAATCAGACACTTTATTCACTGAATGATGTTTTTGTTTTATTTCAAAACTCAAGTCATCATTATGCACACACACATCCTCCGCAAGGAGTCATTTCTTAAATCTTCTCCCTCGTGAGCCCTGCAGCTGGTTATTCCAAGGCGGCACCTGTTGGCGATCTCTAGGGAAACACTGAGCCGCTGGTTGCAGGGATGAGAAGGACTGTTCTCTGGCGGGAGGGGCTGGTGGCGGAGGACATTGCTGCAGCTGTGGAGCGTCTCTGCTGCTGCCTCTGGCCATGACGATCCTTCCAGCAGGCCGGGGGGGGGGGCTTCATCAGGTGGCACACAGTCTCCGACACCTCTTCCGACTTCTTCGATTTTTCAAGCATGGCCTTGAAATTGGCTCCGAACAGCGTGTCCGTCGTGATGGGGCCCTCCAGCAGGTCCTTCTGCAGTTTCTCCGCCAAGGAGGGAGAGTGTCGAAGTCAGGTGGACCTCTGGATCATTGTCATCCAGGCGGAGATGCGAGACAGGCAGACAACAGAGGAGGCGCACAGGTTAAGGATGACGTCAGATCCCTTGCAGAGTGAGCTCTTTGTCTCCTCAGGCAGGTCTGTTTCCTCCAGCCTCTTTGAGATGCTGTAGGCCAGCAGAACAACATTGTTGTTCACTGCGGCTGCCTGGAACGCACACTGGTGAGCTCGATTGGAGAGTGACGTCACCGTCTGGTCATGCTTTCCCGGAGGAACTGGACGCTGGTCCAACCTGGACACTTTTGCTCCAAGAGCTTCTGCCAGGAAAGGCTCCAGGGGGCTACTGTGGGAAAATTCTGCTCAGTAAACCCCTCCACTCTGGTGATGGGCGCGAAGGTGGAGTTGGGCGCTCTCAATTTACCAGGTCTGGCCGCAGCATTGTTCCAGTAGGACGTCACTGCTGGGAAACGAGGCCAGATGGGATCAGGGCGGCGAGCCGGGGTAGAGCCAAACCTTCCCGCTAGATTATCCTATCTGGGCGGGGGGGAGGAGAGGGACAGAAAGTCCCTTTGAGTCAGCCGCCTCCTGGATTATGCCGGGCAGCTCCGAGAGGAGGGCACCGACGGCTGGGAGCGTTGTGGTCGCTGATGCGGAAAGGCCCGGGAGGGGTGAGCATCCGATCAGCCCCTCCCGTTCCAACACTACGCTCTCCGGGAGGAATGAGCAGCGGGGCTGCTGCTGACGTCGCCTGTCCCGGAGGAACCATCCGATTCGCTCCGAGACCAGGCATCAAAAAAATCTATGGCGTCGTCCAGCAAGCAGTCCCTCGCCACGGAGAGGCACTCCTTGATGTTAGCCTTAAACAAGGCTGCTCGCCTCTGCCTCTCCTCAGGGGGGAGGAGGTCACAGAGGCGGCAGGAGGAGGCGAGGTTGGCGTGGCGGGGACCTAGGCATCCTTCACAGGTGTCATGCCGGTCAAAACTCAGCATGTAGCCGATCTTGCAGGATGGGCACAGGCGGATGGTGTTGGTGATGGACATTGTGTTGTTGGAAGATCAGTGCTAGTTGCTTGCTGAAGAAAAAATGGGAGCCGATTACCCGCTCTCAACGTAATTTATACGGACTGGGTGGGGCCCACACGACTGGTGGGCGTGGACTAAATTTTCAGTGCGATGCTTTGCGTGACGTGATAAAACCCACAAGCGACAGCCTTAAAGGGCGAAGCCTATATGAAATAGAACTGAAGTTGAGTCAGGAGATGTTTTGCAAATAGACCCCACCCTCGTTCTCCCACACAAGCAAAACCTTATCTCCCTTTTGCAGCAGGCATTAATAAACTTGATGAAAAGTCCATGCTTATGAGTAATGAGATGCAGAACAGGTGTGCGAAGGGCCAGTCTTACCTGGCAATAGATCTGAACCAGATAGACCAGGTCTTTGGACTCGTACCCGTTCCTCGTCACTTCACACTGCTCATCTGCGAGGGACAGCTGGGAGACACACACAGAAGGTTTGAAGTGTTTACATATTCTAAACAACAGAAACCAAACTGGATCAGATCCATTATTCCAAAGTATCTGGTCCAGTTTTTGTCAACATATGTGGGTCGACCTGGTCTGAAGAACAGCATGGTTTACATTTAGCATTTAAATGTTTTCAGTCCCAGTTGTGAAAAGGTTGAGACATTATGTAACCGTTAAATGAAAACAGGTAATTGTGAAAATGATGGCAGCAGTAACATAACACTGCGGAAGAAAGAAAGAGCTGAAGGAGCATTTTTAAAAGGTAAAGAACATAAAGAACATTTAGGAGGCTGGATCTGAAGTAGGTCAGCAGTATAAAACAGAATCTAAAACAGTGCAACAAATTCATAATAATGCTCCTCAAGGGTAATTTCTGAAGGCTTTGAATATGTTTCATCTATGGTTTATAATTTTATCACAAGTTTTGGTGATTTTTTTTTAACTTCAAAGAAATCTGAGCTCAAAGGACAAGGCTGAACGTCAACACTGGAGAACAACTTGTGATCTCGGGACTGTTGAGCAGCTAGAACCCTCAAACAACAATTAGATAAGATAAGACCTTTATTGATCCTGCAGGAAATTGTTGTGCCAGAGTTTCATTACAAAGGAACAAAAACAAGGCATCACACAAGATATAAAAAATAACAGTGAACATAAAAATCACAGAGAATATAAAAATATCAACAATTAAGTTTTAAAACAGGTCAGGTGAAAGCAGAAACATTAAAGTGTTTATTGTGGTGCAGGATTAATTTTATTGTTTTATGTGCAGAAAGGGGGAGGAGTTGAAAAGTTTGATAGCCACAGGTAGGAAGGACTTCCTGTGGCGTTCTGTGGAGCACCTCGGTGGTCTCAGTCTACGACTGAAAGTGCTGAATGGACAACGTTCCTCCATCAGGTCTCCTCAGATCCCAGGCTGGTGTTAAACACAGAGGGACAAACAGAGACCTGGAAGAACTTTTGGAAAATTCAAACACCTTTTACAACTTCTCAGTTTAAACATGCCATTTGTTTACTATGTAACATTGTGGGGGGACATGAGCAATCGTTGCATTCTGTTTGTATATTACTACTTTAGGAAATATATATAACTTTCTGTTGGGCTTCAGTAGCTCTGCAGTCAGTGCTATCAGTCTGTAATTCTGAAGCTGCAGAACCAAGCCCAGATTGGGTCATGAAGGACATCCAACATAAAACAATGACCAAATCTTACAGCCGATGCTTAAATGGAATATGGATTGTCCCAGACCATACCAAGAAGCATTGCATTAAAAATCACAGCTACTGCTCAGAACATTGGCGTTTTAGTTTTTTTGTAAAAAAAAAAATATATATATATATATTTTTGCATGCTCAATAATCCAGTTAGAAGAATCTAAAAAAG